AGATATCAATCTGGTCACTCGTCTTTTTGATGCATCTTTGTATTTACATGAATCAAAAATAGAGTAATGGATGTAAATTTAAAAATTTTGTAACAAAAAAAAAAAAATAGTGACAAAATCTATATAGAGGGGTATAATGGTCAGAGAATAAGATAAATTTGCACATTCTATCTTTGAGTTTATGAGTAACACGGTATCTAGGTTTAAGTAGTTTACGCAAATTACGAATGAATCCTACGCATCAATTTTTTGTGTGGCAATAGTTAGTCTACAAAAATACTATTTCGGCGATTTTTGGATCTACTCTTTCTAATGCAAAACCTTATAAATAAGAATTTGACTATAGTATCGGGAAAAAAAATATTTTGGTATTATACCTCTATTTATTATATTTGTGGATTATTTTATTACTATTGTGGTACCCCCAAACAGATAAAAATAGTTACCAAAATAATGGTAAAAACATAAATAAATGTGGTAAAAGTATCTAAAATTTAATAAAAACACTCACAAATGTGATAAATTTTTTTGTACCAAAAAAAAGTGGTAGAAATAATTATCACAAATATGATAAAAACACCCATAGCAGTGGTAAAAATATCTATAAAATTGATAAATTACCCACAAAATAAATAAAATTTTAATTATAAAATAACTCACAAAAATTATAAAAATTAAAGGTGTAGTATCGATATTACTACTTTAGTACCATAGGCAAATCTTATAAATACGAAAAATTGTCACATCATTTATGGTTCTTAGGAAAAATGGTCAAATCATCCTCAATTACTTTCTTCCTTTCAATACCATCCTTCTTGTCGGTGGTGATGGATAATGGTGTAAGATGGTAATTTTGATGACGATGGTGGATGTGTAGGGTTGTTAATAATGGCGCGATGGGTTGTGGCTTTTATGATGGATACGCTGATAGTGGAGGTTTTGGTAGGGAAAAGGAAGGATGGGAAAAATGTAGCATGAAACTTGAAGAAAAAAATGATTTAAACATTAGCTAGAAGGTACAAATTAAGGTTATCTTAGTCATTTTGCATGCAATAAACAAAAAAAAAAATCAAATCTTGTTAGACAAATAAGAGCAATATTAAGGGATTGTTTGATAATATCATTTAAGGTTTAAAATTGAATTTTTTAAATGCTTAATGAATTAAACCCGTTTGATAATCTAAAGCTCATGCCAATTAATATTTTAAATACTTTTTAAAAATATACCGAAATTTTTAGTTCCAAGTCAACTACTTATCATTTAATGCTAAAAATATTGATTAGTAAATATTTTATCAATTTCTCATAATGGACAAATATATCTTCAATGCATCTTACACTCTTAACTTTTCAATATCTATCATTCACCACCACAATCATTGTGTTGCCGTCACCAATGCCGCCACCATTGTGCCATCACTATCACCATCACCACCACTATGCCATAGTCTCCACCATTGTGTTCCCACCACCACTTACATTATACTACCATCATTATCATTATGTTATTGTTGCCACCATTACTAACATTGTGTTATCACCTCCACTGCCACCACTACTGTTATCACCACCATTGTGTCGTCGCCACCACTACCAGCGTCGCGAGTAGTTGCGGAGAGACGGTTAAAAAGAAGGGCAAAATTAAAACAATAATAATTTTCAAATTTCAGTTACTTATATTTGTCAAATAATTTGATTCAATTCAATATTTAAATTTCAATTGATACTAAACAACCTATGAATTAAAAAATTCACCATTCAACACTTAAAATTTAACATTCAATTTTTAGTTTTATCAAACACCATCTAACTCTAAGCGTAGTTGAAGTGGTAACATGAATGAGTTGTAAATTTAAACATTCTAAGCTTGAATCTTAGTAACTCATTAGGGTTACACCATGAAAGATATTTCCCTCATGAATATTTTAATTCTGACGTGGATGACTTATCTTTGACTGGACGGAGGATGATATTAGTTGAGATGCGTATAATCTGATCTGAACAACTCTGATCATTGAATCAAAAAAAAAAAAAAACAATGCTATTGAAATCTAATTTACTAACTTAATTTATTGAACTATTTTATTATAATATTTGGATTGACTGTGAATCTCATCACGCATTGAAACTTAATGTTGATCTTATGATTTCAATAAAACCACATCATTAACTCAACAAATTATGTCACATTTTTATGTCTAAATAATATTACTCAACAAATAAAGTCATAGAGGATTTAGTGTCATAAATATTAATAAAGGAAGATATTATGAAATTAATCCTGTAAACTATTGTTGATTTAAAGGGGTTTTAACTAAAAAAAGGAATATTATTATTTTGGCATAGTTTTCCAATAATATTTACCCCATGTATCATTTGGAATGAAGGGAATGATCGAAATTGCTGACACAATTTTAATAGTTTTGCCTAAAATACTTTTTTAATGATAAGATTTTAAATAAGTAACTATAAAATGTGACACGTGTAATATTACATTATTCACTTACTAAGATCAATCCAACTGGCATAACATTTTCTTGCATTTGAACTTTTCCAATTTCGTCTAAATTCACAAAATTTCATACCTTAATAGCTCTAACAAGCACCAAAACTCTCTAATATTACACATAGAAGTTAAATTCTTAACTTAATCAAGATTGATCTAATAGTACAAATTCATCCCAACCGCTCAAAATTTTTTTTTTTATTGTAAAACCCCCAATACCAAACAACCCTACTAATTCATACATATACCTCCTCTCTTCTATCTCTCCTACCAATTTTTTATTTAATTTTTGTTCATTTAACTTTGAATTGCGTGATTAAAGAGGAAATAAAAAAATAAATTTATATCTTGTAAGATCAATGTCCCAATTTTTAGTATGGTAAAGTGTTTTCAGATATGCGGTTATTGTTAATAAAATAATATTTTTGGGAAGTAAAAACAAAAATAATATCCAACCATAGTGATAAAATTATTAAAATTATGCACATATCCCAACCCACTTGCATATGGATTGATTTTTTAAATTGATTATCCTCATCTAAATGCATTATATTATTTTTTGCAAATTTGAATATGGATATACTAATATCTTATTTAATTATGAATTTATAAGATTTACAAATATAAATAAATAAATAATAAATTTGAGTGATTATTTGACGAGGTTGAATTAAAAATGAATGAATTATATTTAATGAAATTATTTAGATTGAATCAATTATTTTTTTATATCTCATTTTATTCTTTTCATAAATTTAGATATAAAATAAAAAATAAAAATATATCAGATAATTCTTATCGAAACTTTTCAATGAGATTCAACTTTGGATGAATTCAAATTCGATTCATTGGTAGATTTAATTATATCTCCTAAGGACGAATATATGTATCAACATCTTCGACCATTAAGAATGTATTTTTTTGTCATAAAATCATTAAGGGTATTTTGGTCATTCAACAAACAAAATCTCGTAAAAGATATTCAAAAGAGAGATTTGAGAAGGTTTGTTATGGAAGATCTCCGTAATAGAAAAAATCAAACACAAAAAAATCACGTTTTAAAAAAAATATATTTTTTTCTTTTAAAAATCAATAAAAGAAAAAATAATTATCATTCTCCACGCGCCACTTTAAGAAATTGTACGATAGAAGCTTTCAACTAAACGGATCTGTTGTCCTTTTCGCGCGTGACTAACAGGCATCGTATGAGAGCATATATTTTCTTTCGAAGGAATACGAAAAAAATTAGGGAAAATGGCAGTTTGCCCCCGAAAATTATATAATTTTTAATTTTTATTTTTAAAGATTAATTATTTTAAATTTTACCCTCAATAAAATTACTTAATAGTAATGTGACCCAATCATAATATCTATTACAGTTTTTGTCAGATTGATAGGCACGTGAAACACATGTTAAAAGGAGAAATGCCATAATCTTACAAAGTCATCACTTATATTTCATGCGCCTATCAATTTAACTGAAATTATAATGAATGTTATGATTGGAGACTTAGAATTCACATTGTTACCAATTTTTTTTTATTGGGATATCCTTCAAATTGACAAACACGCAAGATGCATGTGAAAAAGGAAGTGTAATAACTCTACAAAAGTTATCACTTGCATCTCACGTGTCTGTCAATTTGACTAAAATCATAACGAATGTTATAATTGGATTCACATTACTTCCAATTAATTTAATTGAAATTTTTATCAAATTGACAAACACGTGAGATGCATATGAAGAGGGGAAGTGTCATAATCTTACAAAAGTCATTAGTTGCATCTTAAGTGTCTATCAATTTGATTAAAATCATAACAGATCTTATGTTTGGGGTTCATATTGTTACCAATTAATTTATTGGGGTATAATTTAAATAATTGATCTTTGAGAATACAAATTAAAAATTTTATAATCTTTTGGGGTACAAACTGCCATTTGCCCATAAAATTATTTTAAAGTAATTTTTAATAAACAATCTACAGTGTATAATACTGACAGCAGTGTTTTTGTCTCTCTAAGCTCACAGTAGGTTTATTCTTTTTTTTTCCTCTTTTCTCTCTCCTATATATACAGAGAGAAAGCGAGTGAGTCTGTTCTTCTCTCCTGCTTTAATGGCGTGAGACCGTAGCAGAGTGTGGTATCTACCCGTACATGTAACCGTATGTAATCCTTCATCTTTGCATGCTTCACCAACACTTCCCAAAAAAAACCCAAATGAGATGGGATTTGAAATAAAATGCAATAAAATTTCACACCACCCCCCGAAATCACCTTTCCATTTTTGAATCAGACTGTTGATATCTCAGACCAACCCAGATGATAAAAAAGTGGTAATCTCTTCTAGGTGTTTGACATATAATCTGTTCGGGTCAGAATCTGATGTGGGTATTGGTTTGATTGTTTGTTTTGTGTATCTTTTGTGCTGTTGTTTGTGTTTTCCTTGTTTCTGTTGTTGTGTGTTATTGTTTTTTTTTTTGTTGTTGTTTTTTGATGTTTGAGAGAGTTGGGATTGAGAAGAAAATTGGAGCGAACATGAAGGATGATGAGGAGCTTGAAAAGTTGTTAGGTGAGATCCCTCATGCGACATCATTCAACCTTCATCACCCACATAGTAATGGCCATCATAATGTTCATGGCGACCATTGTACTGGTTCATTTGTATCACAGAAAATGAATGGGGTGATGTATGGTTTGTACGATGATGACCCAATGAGTCATAAATACACATGTGCTTCCCCTGTTAGTGGGTTCTCTTTGCAATCTGATGGATCTTCCTCAAGCTTGTTATCGGGTGGGCATTCATTGTCTGACAATGGATCACCACCTCCACCTCCACCTCCATTGGAAGAGCTCAAATCTCAAATGTTTTGTGGTAGTTCTAATTCCCCAAGTGGGTTGTTGTTGGATTTGCAAACACCTGATTGTGTTTCTTCTGTTGCGAAGAAGGCCAATGTAACTATGATTGACGAACTGATTTTGTCAAAAAACCTTAGTAGGATGTATATTAGCAAGGAGCAAGGGGATGTCTCCGTAGACTCCAATGGATACCAGTTTTGTGATCGATATGTTGGTGGGACTGGGACTAATCAACTCGATTTTGAGAAATATAGGTCTTCTCATAATCGTATGCAAGGTTTATCTGATTATGGGGGAGTTCAATCATCTGTTCCAAGAAGTCCTTTGGGTTTCAATGATAGGATGAATTCGGAACTGTTGAGTTTGCAACACGAATATAGAATATTGGGATCACTATATTCCCCTGTTCGATCTGATGGATTGTTTTCTCAATTGAATTATAGCAATAGTCATATGGGTTCTCAATATCAGAGAGCTGAGGAAGTGGGAAACTATTACCATAAGGGAGTTTCAGTATCAGACTTGGCCGCTTCTGTAAATAGGTCTTCAATTGTTGGTGATTTGTACTATGGGCAGAAAAACGAGATGAATTTGATTGAAGGACAGACTGCATTTCATCCACTCAATATGCCTCAGTTCACCCAATCAAGGCCGCATTTTAATGTGAAAAATATGCTACATTGTCACCCAGCACTGCTAAATGGGAGAACCAGAGCATCTTCTAGTGTTAAAATTCCTCAAGGGGCACTTGATGCTGTTATTAGGGAGGATAGCTTGATCATTCAAGGAGAAGGGGTAAACTATGGAATCAACAAAGGGAATGCACGTTCAAGGGGACAAAATAATAGAGGTTCCTTACATGACATCAGTGTGGGTAATTCTCAAGAAAAGAGGTCACAGCTAAATGCACATCCACAATTTGCAGGGACTAATCAAAGTGTTCTAAGTGCAAGAACGTATTGCCCTTTCTCTCTGGCACCAAAATGTAACTCCGTGGCAGAAGCTCAAGGTTATATATACTTGATAGCTAAGGATCAACATGGTTGCCGGTTCTTGCAGAGGATGTTTGATGAGGGAAGCCCACAAGATGTGCAAATAATCTTTAATGAGATCATTGGTCATGTAGTTGAACTCATGATAAACCCATTCGGGAACTACCTTATGCAAAAGCTGTTGGAAGTATGCAATGAAGAACAGAGAATGCAAATTCTGCTCAGGATAACTGTAGAGAGAGGCGAGCTCGTAAGAATCTCTTTAAATACCCATGGGTAAGTCTTTTACACTATCACTCATCTTTTCATTTTGCTTCAATTTTAACGAAATGGTTACTGTGTCAGCACTCGAGTGGTGCAGAAGTTGATAGAAACTCTCAAAACGAGGCAGCAAATTTCACTAGCTATATCAGCCCTTGAACCAGGCTTTATTGCTCTCATCAAGGACCTGAATGGTAATCATGTGGTACAGAGATGCTTGCAATGCCTTAGCGACGAAGATAATAAGGTACCGACTTCTCGTATTTTCCTCGAGCATTTTAATATTCATGACAGTTCCAAGATTCTGCTACAGCCGTCTATATTGAAGTTTCTTAAGCATGATAAGATTTGTTTACATTTTGAAATATGTTGCTGCAGTTTTCTCCTATATCAATACCATGTTGCTTTTGTGCTGCGTAATTTGCTTCTTATCTGCTAAGTTAATCATTAGATTTAACGAAAATATGTAATCATCACCAATCATCATGTGTGAAGGAACATATAGGTTTTACAGTGGTCTTTTCCTTCATCTTGTATCCTTTTAAATTATTCCGTCATTCCTTCATAGAATGCGAATTATGTTTTGTCTCTCTTTTGTTAAAATTTTACACAGGCATTCTATTCCTTTTTCTTCTGGGGGTTAATAATCCGCATTTTATATATTTTGAGTTTCTTCAAGTTGGAAATGGAGACAATAACATCTTGCAGTTTTAGGGGGTAGTCAAGGAAAAGTATTGCTACACAGTGTTTGTGGCACTTCATCTGTTACAAATAGAAGAGTGTAGTAACTTCTCTCAGTTCTTAAACATTTGTTTGGTGGATGAAATGAAAAAAATTCATGGTGGAGATTGAGTTGATCATTGGCCAAAGTTTTTTTGAATGACTGAGGAGTTGCAATTGTCAAATGAATTTCTGTAAATGGTTAAAGACCAAAAAAGATGACTGATTATTTACTGCAGCCAAACTGGTGAGTTTTCATCCTTAATTCAAAGTAGAAAGTTTGTCCATTTAAACATTGTGATGTGAAGTATTTAAGGTGATTTGTTTTCATTCCTTCTTGCTTGGTTCTTGCTTTTCATGTAGCAATGTGGAGTCTCAATTAAGTTCATGTACTTGACCTCATTATCAAAAGAATATGACTGATTTGTTACTGAGTTACTTAGCTTTCTGCAAACTTTTATGGCAGTTCTAATGTAACAGCATTGAGGAATGTTACAAGTGATATGTACAAATCAACAAAACAGTTTCACCTTATTGAATCCGGGCAGGGTTTCTGGTACTGCATTGACAGAACATCTCTTGCACACTAAGTTGAACATCACAAACTGAAGTAGTTTCCTAGAGCATGTATATAACAATTGTACAGCTGCAGAAACTAAGGCATTAAGGAAGAACTACTTGCCACTTTTGCCTCCCAAAAATTTTCATGATTCTTGATACTTTACTCCTTTGGAAACTCCATAATATTCTGCCCATGCACATTTCAGAACATTTTCTTTTGCTAGTTCAGCTATGCAAATCTCGAGAATATATTTCACGATATCAAAGCTATAAACTAAATTGCCAATTTTTGGAAAAATCTGGTGTGCTTATAAATATAATGCATAATTTGGAGTACAGTCCTCAACTTGAGAGTAAAACGGAAAATTAGAAGGGATATTCGCTGGGTAGATTCAGGTAGCTTTTTGTAAAGTTGGGTAATTTCAATGTTCTTTTTCACATTCTGTTTTATCAACGGATAATAGTACATAATTTAAGCTTGAAATTCTAATTTGAAGTTTTACCTTGGTATTGAGAGCACCTTAACTTGTTTGCACTTGCAGTATGAGCCTCAAATGTTATGGGTGACGGTCTGTCCCAGAGATGCCAGTTTGATGTTGACCAAGAAAATTCCTTTGCCATTTTCTTCTTCTTTTCTTTGGGTATTTCTTTTGTTTTTGGAAGGTTGTAGGGAATCAACAATTTTCTCTTTATAGGGGGATAACTGATCAGTCTTGTAATGTGCAGCAACTATAAATCACACAATCTTTTTATTTTTGATCATTCTCTTCAGTTTCATCAGTAGTGTGTGGTTTAAGGTTATGACTCGTAAACAATAGGGAAAAAGCGTAATGAAATTCAATACTTCTTCTAAGACAAGGCCACTTTCATGAGGTTCACCAATAAAATCTTCATCAACCCAAGTTATTTCAAGCGCAAAATCATTTCAGGCGCAATAAGAATTTCTGCTGAAGTTCATGCCCATCATATGTGTTATTATCTGCCGCTTCTTGTGAATTGTTGCTTCATTTTTCTTGCATATTTTACTTGATATATTTAATACATCTTATACTATTTCCTTGACTTGGCAGTTCATTTTTGTTGCTGCTGCAAAGTACTGCATTGACATTGCAACTCATCAACATGGGTGTTGCGTGTTGCAACGTTGCATCAGTCGTTCAACTGGAGAATATCGAGAAAACTTGGTCACCGAAATTTCCGCAAATGGACTTCTACTTTCTGAAGATGCATTCGGGTAATTAAATGAAATAACTTATTTTCATTAGAAATCATCAGTTAATAGTCATACACACTAACATTTCGTGGAACCAGGTGTTTTTGAACTACATTTGTAGTTGCCTCGACTGCTCATCCTTATGGAGGGTTGAGGCTTTTAGTTTTCAACTTTGAAAGCTTTGTTGCTCTATTTTTGTGGATTTGGGGCCCCTGGGTTTTTTTTTTTTTTTTTTTTTTTGGGGGGGAGGATTTTTTTTGTTTACTTTTGTTTTCAATTCTATGTTGTCTTTTTCTTATCCGAATTTCAAAGAAGAATTGACACCAAAATGAATGTTTTTCGTTTTCCTTTTTTTGTGCCATATGTACTTTATGTCATCGCTGTCCCAACCCCACCCCCAACCTGCTTGTATGTTGTAAGGCCACTCTGTCTGACCTCCTTTAGGAATAGTGGTAACACAAGAATATATTGGTGAGCATCATTAGTGAGGCTGACGGTCATCCAGTAGGCTTGTTTGTTGGAAGAAGAATGATGAACGGGAGATCCGTTTTATTTCTGAAGGCTTCTTAGACTCTTATTTAAACTGCATAAGACTATTTTTTTCATTTTATTTGAATTATACTTCCATCCAAAACCTGTGCAGTTTTTGGATCATCTTTCCATATTAGTCATTTTCCCAACCACTAAGAAATTTATGCTTTCCTTTTTAAAATTTCTTCTCTGATGAGGGGGATATATTCTGCGTGCAGAAATTATGTTGTTCAGTTTATCTTGGAGCTAAAGATTCCATCTGCTACATCTAAGTTGATTTCTCAGTTTGAGGGGAACTATGTGCATCTCTCGTTACAAAAATTCAGCAGCCATGTTGTTGAAAAATGTCTCATAGTATTTGAGGATGAACTCCGGTCAAAGATCATCCACGAATTACTTTCTGCAGCTCACTTTGAGCAGTTGCTTCAAGACCCACATGCAAACTATGTTGTTCAAACAGCTCTACGAGTTTCCGAGGTTAGGAAATCAACAGCACATTAATACCATTTGGGTTTGAGCAATTTCTTTTTCTTTTTCCTTTCTTATGAAATCTTATGTTGCAAGTTTATTTTTTCCTGAAGAAAGAATTGCTAGGGTTTTAGCTGAAGCCCCATTTCTACACCTAAATGGGCTTTTAGGGGTTGGTGATGTGAAGCTCAAATATAAAAGATGATTTTTTCCTTAGATGTATGCATAAAACCACTTAAAATGAATCTAATATATTCAACGTCATTCCAAAAATCAAAATACAGGTCGTTCTGGATCATCAAGTTTTATATGGCTTTGCTAGTGTTAACTGTTTAGTAAGGAAAACTTTGTTGTCTCAGGTAACGCGGTGAAACCAACAAAATGATCCATGAAATTATTTTCTTTTTGTACTTTTACCTCGTAGATCTATTTATTGGTACCCAACAGATTGCTAATGAAAGTCCTGGCACATATATCTCCATCTTAATGTTCTGATCTAACTTTTGAAATCAGGGTCCTCTTCACAATTCACTGGTTGATGCGATCGAGTCCCACAAGGCAATGGCGCGCAACAGTCCATATTCCAAGAGGATTTTCTCCCATAAGCTTTTGAAGAAGTGATGTACATTCCTCTCTTGTTGGTAAGATGTTTTGTTGTTGTTCCCCATTTGCTGGCATTTTGTTTTCTATTACCGGATCTTTATCATACACATAAGCTTATGGCCGTGTCTGTTCTCAATTTTGGTTTCTACAAGTTTTGACCACTTGGGCTTGCTTCAGCTTTGAGTATAGAGGACAAAGGAATTCTGCTTCCAGTTGCATATATTTCCGAAATGTTATATATTATTTTCTTGTCGTCATTGTATCTGGTGGATACTGTCGTATCTTTATTCTGTGAAAATTTGTCTGAACGAGAGTGTACAGTTTATTTGAATAGCGCGGATTTATTTCCAGTTCTGTATAAATGCTATGTTTGGATGCTTTCCCAATTGTTTAAATCCTTTGCAAGTGTTAGCATGAGATGCATAGTTACTTTGTGGTGGTGTTTTGGCTTGTGACTTGTTAAAACTTATGGTATACATGAGATAAATTCTCACTTTATGAAGTATTATTACAAATAGTTTTCCCAAAGTTAGATCCAAGGCTTTAGAATACCATCTTCTGAACAACATTAAACCTCGCATCATTTTAATTTCAGATGATACATAATGGTTTTAGAAAGTTTAGCACTCGTAGATCTTGCTTCCCGGTCGGTCATACAAATTTGGTTAATATAGAGAAGTTACCTTTGAATTTGACAAGGCACAGCTGCTCTAGCCGTGTTGAATGAGGAGGAAATACTTTTTGACAAATCGAAGAAACAAAAACACAAAACATCATGAAAAATTACTCTGCAATAAGAGATTATTTGTGAGCCAAAAAAAAAAAATTATTTTGTTGATTAGGTTAAACTGTTGTCTTTAGTTATTTGGTTTTTCTTTTTGTTGCATGCTACTATGTTTCAAGTGCAACATTGCGGGTTTGAGTTCAAAATCAACCTCTCCAAACCAGGGTTAAAATTGTCTATCGTCTATCGTTAACCTTCTAGATACTGATATAGACAATAGTTTTATATATTAAGTACGACTTTTTTTATTCCACGTTCCAAGTAATATCTATCCACCACAAGCATTAAATTTTACACGGCTAGAAGCTCCAATAGTTTGAGCTGATAAACGAGTTGATTTTATAAGTTCTAGTCGAGCCTTTTAAGTTTATTTTTTTAAATAAGCCAAACAAATTATACAAAATGAGCCGAGTTTGAGTTGAATCTGATCTGAATTCGAGTAGCATGACTTCATTTTTATGCTTTTCCACAAAATAAACCAACAAATAATAGAGAATAATTGCATAAAGAATGGGTGTTGTATGTCTTTTTGGGTTTTGATATTTGGCTGTTTTGTTAAGGGAAACAGGCCACATGATATACCGAACTAGTGCCGACATGTTAAATTTACGCAATAATCTTGCCTTAACCATTAAGAGACGATTTAAACCCATTAACTTATGATTGAAGCGCACAATATCTTGATGGTGAGCAAGGATCAAAATGAATCAATGATGATGGAATCGAAATTCTAAGAAGAGCGAAGCGAATCAGTGATGATGGAATCAAAATTCTACTATTTCAAAGTGTTTCATAATGTTTCGAAATATTTTGTAATATTTTAATAGATTTGCACAATTGTTTCAGAATGCTTTAAAGTATTTCAAAATACTTTGACATATTTCAACTAATGTTTTGAAAAAATAATTTTTAAATTTTTTTTATCTTTTTCATTCTATTTTCAAAACGGGTCGAATCGCTTGTGAAACACGTCGAAATATTTACGTTTCTTAGGTAATCGAAACAATTCATTGAAATGAATTTTTGGTCGTTGATGGTGAGGTTAACCTTTCATCTATTTACCATTAAAGACATCTTAGAGTAAACAGGCCATGAACTTATAGCTTCCTAACTGCAAACATTGCTTGTGGGAATTAGAGAAATTGTACTCGTACAAGCAACCAAAATTCCACTGTTTTTGCACATAAAGAAGGTAGCCCACGAAAGGGTGTATCTTTCACTCATACAGAATGCATTAATAGTGCAAGTTAGGTCATTTCAAGGTTGGCACCAAACCGATTTGTTCATTCACGAGAGTCAAAACAAAGCACGTCTAAAAAAAATGAATGAAATAATAAATTGTTCGCTTGTCGGCATTTCGAGTCTTGCACTCGGAGAAGAGCGTTGGTTGCCCGATATACATGGTTTGTAGGACATTGTTAGGTTGACGTTAAAAGAATTTGTTGTTCATTGAGCGTTTCAAATGACACATCTGAAAAAAATAAATATAACTAATAATTGTTAGTTCACTGTGTTTTAAAGTTTGACTCTTGTAAGAGAGTCTTGATTAGCACAATAATGGGGGACTTGGGAGTTAAGTGCACACAATAGAATTTAACATGTAATGATAAGTTTAAAAGAAATATGGTTGGGATTATTCTCCATCAACGAAACTTGTTTTTATAGCGTTTCTCAACCTATCCACTCCCCATGACACCCAACCCCACCCTTAGGGGGGCTCATCTATAGGGGCTAGAGTACCACTAAGCCACAATGGGGACTTGTTTGGGGTTTGGGTAAGGGGTGGGGGGAATACTGTTTGCCATAGAAGTAGAAGTGATATTAGTAAAGATTAATAACATTTTTAGTCCGTAGAATATGTATTTTTTGTTAGTTTAGTTCTCATTGTATCAATTTTATCAATTTAGTCCCTCAAATATTCAATCTGTGTCACTCTGGTCTCTAATTAGACAATTTATCAAAATTTTTGACTAAAGTAATCACATGTCATTTTTTTAGACGGTATCACACTCTAAACACGTGATTATTTTGTAAAAAATTTAACGGTTTGTCTATATAAAGACTAAAATAACACGAATTGAATATTTTAGGAATCAAATTGACAAAATTGATACAATAAGAACTAAATTAACAAAAAATATATAATTTAATAATCAATAGTGTTATTAACCCTATTAGTAATTTGAATGTGTCCTTATTTTCCTAATTTCAACATGTGATTCTCATTCTAAATTCATGCACCCGTGATGAGTGGGATAGAAAGTCAAGTCTAAAAAACAAACACTCACCATGCCATGTGCAATCCAACTCTCTCTCTCTCTCTCTCACACACACACACACACACACACTCTTACACACATGCACAGAAGTCAAAAAGCTTTAGGTGTTCTAGCTATTTTCAGTTAGCTACTGCTATCATTCCTGCTAGCAAAATATAAACTTTCCATCTTCTATATATAGATCATGAAACCCTTCAAGGCACATATGCTTCAGTCTCATATATTTCTACATTAAATCTTTCAAACTGCGTCTCAAAAAGTTTAGAAAAAATGGCTAAAATACAAGCAATGGAAGGGTGGAAAAGAGCTCCAAAGGGCCATTTTGTGGTCTATGTAGGAGAAGAATTGAGGAGATATTTTGTTCCAACATCTTATTTGAGGAATCCCTCTTTCCAGCAATTGTTAGAGAGGGCTGCAGAAGAGTATGGCTATCCTAGCCAGAAAGGCATTATCCTGCCTTGCGACGAAACCACCTTCCAAAGGGTAATGTCATAGTTTTGAAAATCGCCCATTACAGATTGTAATAGCCATTATGGAAGGGTATCGGTGGTAATTCGATACTGTTACATCTTGATTTAACGGTGAGAAATTTTTTTCCTCACATATAACGGCTATGATTGGTGTAGCAGACTGTAACGAGCATCACAGAGACAATCTTTATATTTAGTGAGCTTGATATTGAAATAGGTAATCTTAGTCATTCTTTTGGATTATTTTACGCAGCGTGTGGGGTTTGTATGTGATTACATGTAGCAAGTTTTTAAGTTGTAACAATGATTTTAAAAAATGCGTGATCAAGATCAATGACTCATTATACAGCTGAATAAAACATAAAGTCATTGAGAGCGTGGAGTGGCGATCTCTCTCTTTTTTTTTTATCCTAAAAATAGTGAGAACCTTGTGCATTGATTATTGGGTATCAACAAGATAACCTAACCATCGAGAAGAGGTATCCATCTTGATGCATCAAAGAATTGTTGTATTGGTTTATAAACAAACCAATATAAACCAATGGTTAGGATTGTGTTTGTATCTTTGTGCCAAGAAATTCATATAGCAAAATTAGCGCATTAAGGCTTCTGAATTCTTGGCTAAAAATAATACGACTCACCACCCTAGATTGTAAAAAAGGCCGAGTTAGTGTCAAACACTAGTAACTTGATTTTGACACGTCAAACTTGTTTGCTTGTATAGTATGAAGAAAATTTTTGATATATTTTCATTAGTATTTATAGTTTCTGACTTGGTATATTGAACAAATCTATTTAGAATTAGAAGATTTTTTTACTTGTTTTCACAAACATTCCAACCAAGTGAATTTTCAGCTTATGAAATGCCTATGGATAATTCATGGGTTAATACATATGAATCAAAACATAACACGATTAACAAATAGATGAGACATAATTAGTTAAACAAGTGGATAGTTGACCAGAACTTATCATTAAAAACAAAAAATAATACGATCTAAATACAACATAATACTATTCGATTATCAGTGTCAAGGGTAAGTGTTAGGCGTACGTTGTTTATCTTTTTGCCGCATCACAATGCAATGTGAAAATGCAGTCACGAGTGCAATGTGTTGTGTTTGGTGACTTTTTTGCTAATTTTATGAGGCTATAATACATGGTTGGAGTCAACACGAATGCCTCAAGATTGCCTAACTGTATATCTTGTACTTGGGATTCAAGTTTCTTAGTACAGTATCATAATGGTTCATTGAAACTAGGTGATAGTTCTGGCTGAGCTGGAAGCCTACCACCCAAATATGATCATATATATATATATATATATATATATATATATATATATATATATATATATATATATATATATATATATATATATATATATATATAATTTAAGTTCATTCAATATTTAAGTCGAGTTCGAACAATGTATCTCGTGATTTTAAGTTCATAGTACAAAAAAAGTTAAGTTACGGTTGATGGTGGTCGAAATCGATTAGACTTGACTACAGAACAGTTTGATATATGGCCCAAAGAGTGTGTGAACGTGTGTATGTAATAGAAAATGTGCTAAGTGTTAAATGTAAGACGAAAACAACAATATGAGTGATTCATTTTAACCGAAGAATTAAAGTTACATGATTACATCCACTGTAAGAAACTCCTTGGGAATTGTATTACTTAGAGAAGAAAATTGATATTACAAGATATGTGGCTAGAAGTTTTTTTACAGAATATTGCATAAGTTATTGTTAGGCGATATTTCTCTATATCTCTCTGTATGGCATCATTAGCTATTTATACATCTGGTTGTTTGGATTTCGTGGTGATTCCCTTTTGGCTGATTTTGTGGTCCTTTATGTGTTTTCCATGTTATGGGAGCTGTCATCCCTGACGCTTTTCTTCACCCGCTACGCAACAATTAGAATATGTGAGTCATCCCCATTATCGATAGATTTTCCTCCACCGGGATTTTCAGGTGTTATCCCCTTCTCTCCTATTCACATGTCGTTTTGCAATTTTTGTCACCTGGTCTGGTGTCGTGCTCTCGTTCTCCGATCTAGTACCTCTAGTGGGTTTGTCGAATTGTCACTTATTCTGAGCTGATTTGTTTCGGGCTTCTATGGCACTAGGCTGCAGTCCAACTTGATCCCAGTGAATGTTATCTAAATGATACGCTTGGATAGCCTTATGTGAGTCTAAAAGATTTTGAACTCCAGAAAAAATTCAGACTTAAATCCATTATCATCAACATAAACATAAACATTAGCCAACAATCTAAGGCTAAAAATAAAGTTGTGTTTCAAAAAAATTCTGAACTGGAGTTGTGTCTCTATAATTATTATTAGCAATAAACAATTAGAAGAATAAGTGGGTGCTTAATTAAGCAAAGTAAAACCATCATACACAACAAAACAAAGTGTCACCATGGTAGTGCAAGCACCACAAAAGTTAACTGACGCGTGAACAATACGCTCGAAAATGGACACACACGTGGACCAATCAGAGCTCAGAAACAGATTGCATGAGGTCCACGAATTCTTTTTTTTTTTTTCTCCACGCCACATATCATCTGTGTCTATTTATTTAAATAATATAATTACTAAAATATTTCTTTTTCTTATTTTATAAAAAATTTCTCTCCCCCTTATCTCGTTACAACAGAGACGGTCATATCATTAGTAACATATTATATCACCAATCAATTATAGAATAAGTAAATCCGACAATTCCAAGAAATTAGCTAATCAAGAAGAAGGGCTTCTTCTTTCGTAATGATCCTGTGTCTAAATCTCAGGCTCTTGGTTATAGTTATACCAACCGTTTCTAAGCGTCGCATGGCTATATATGTTTTCACATGCTAAGGATTTGATTGATTTCACTTCTACCAGCACTTCATAGTCCTGTGAACAAAATGCTCTCTCTCTCTAAGTTCCACAATCAAATCCCCTTTATTATATTAAAACCATATCTGCCATAATAAATCATATTTGAGTACACTGATGCACACAGCAGCTGGATTATGCCCGAACCCTTAGGCTCAGAGTGTTTTTATCATTGGTGTTTTTTTTTATCTCTATACTTTTCACCGCCCCACCAAAATTCTCTCTGCCCTTACCTACTTGAGCTTGGTAGTTTCCAACTTTTCACCGCTTGTCCATTGGTTAGCACAAAAAAAAAAAAGTGAAAGTGAAAGAAATAGAAAGTGAAAGGAAGGAAAAAAAGTGAAAGAAAATATATTTTTTATGCGTTTATTTAATTACTATTAAAAACTTCTAAGCAAATTTTAAAACAATTTCATTCAATTATTTGAAAAAAACTAAAAAGAAAAGTTATAAAAAAATATTTTTTATTATTCAAATTTAAAAAAAATTGGCTTCTAACCAAATTCAGGAACAAAGATCAACTCGAACCCTGATCTCTAAACCAAATTATATAGTTAACCTAATTTGTACAAAAAATTTTAAAATTAATAATTAATTGAATATTTTTAAAAAAATAAAGATAAAATGAGAAATTAAATTATTGAACACAACTTTCTTGTTTTTCCTTGTGGTTTTTGCAACGAAAAAAAAATAATTAATTAAATGTGAAAAAATCTAGGCATGAAAAAAATTTTTTTTTATTTCATACTAAACAAACACACGTAAAATTTTAAAATTTTCTCTCTTGCAATTTTTAACATTATCTTACTAAACAAACGAATTCTTAAGGTGGTTCAGTGACTGAATTTGCCCTCTGATAACCAGAAGTCTTAGTTTCAACACTTCTCATACCTTTTTTGGGCCAGCATTATTCATTATTCCCTAGGGGATACGTTCAAAATCCATTTGAGCTAAGGTGACCAGTATCCAAGCTCGAGAGAACAGTTGAAACAAGCTTGAACACCCTAAAACCGAAAAAAAAAAAAACACCGGAGTAGGTCTAAAGTCCAAAGTCTTCTTAATGGGCATAAACCTTCAAAAAGAAGTTACTCCACTTTATAAGACCATCTAGATTCAAGTATAATTGTTAATGAAGCAAGCACTAAATCATCTAGGTGGCAGTCTCAGTTCCCACAAATCAGCAGTGCATATATTTCACAATGGCTGTCCCGTCTACCCACTGAACTTTCTGTGAGCAAGAATAAATTGGGTGTTGTGGGCATAGCAATTAGCATGCCATCCCTCCAGTTATTATAAAGAGGTAGAGGTCCACAGCAGCACCCTTCTCATATATATCTTTTAAGAAATTGGAAAAATGAAGTAAAACTGATGATAGAGAAGTCAATTGTACAATAGAAAAAAACGTGTATAGGCACATATATGCTTGTGTGTTTGTGCTCATGTATGCAGGAAAAAGGTACCACCACAGCTAATAGCTTGATGTTTAAATCATCAGATATTGATGCTTCAATCCCCCCCGCAGCCCAGAGGGGGGGGGGGGACGCGAAAAAAGGATGGTCTCTCAGCCATTGCATTAATTGATAAACGGTATACATCAGATTGAACGGAATCTAAAAGAAATGCTGGAGCAGTTTCCTCCACACACCAGTTCCACTTGCCGATTCTGCATAATACATATTTTGCATTCCCTAATGCACTTTTGTGTCTGATTGAATAGACAGAGACTATTGAACTCCATTAACTCCTAATTTGTTAATTAAAATCCTACATTAGTCCACAAGCCCAGGTAATCGGTAAAAGCATAATTACATTCTGCTAATCAAACTGCTGTCGAAGCTGCATCTCTGTCTCACTTTTCCACGAAGCATGAGATGACTGACCCTTCATTCTTTTACTCTTCTCCTTATCCTTAATGGTGGATCCCTTCTTCTTCAGCGACTCTTTGTCTGTGTCTGCAGGAGGGCGATCACCACATACAGGGCATACTATTCCCCGTGCATTAGAGTATGTTTTGGGGATTCCGCACTGTAGGCACATCCTACAAAAAGAAACTCGTCCATTCTTAGTAACATACAGTATGCACATTTACATGTCAATGCACACCAAGAATTTTCATTTTACATATTCACAGAGATGAAAGGATGAGGGAGAGGGAGTATGGTTGGAAGCTACAAGGTTGCAAACATGACAAATACAAGTATATTGCCGGGTCAGAGAGCATAAAGTTTATGGGTCCCACAATATGTTATGCTCTCAAATTTATTGCTAAATAACATTGTGCAAGTGCAGAGTCATACCCATATATCACCAAAAAGACGAAGTTTTAACTCTTCTTTAAAATAATAAACCACTTGTTTCACTCTTGTGCAAACTGAGGAACCTATATATGTAAAATATGAACCTAGAAAATTTTGTAAGCGTAGCTATGCTGCTACTACTCATAAATAAAATAATTGACCATCAAATCTTCATACTGCCAGATAAAACTAATAAATTAGTGCAAAATCAGTAGTACAAGCAGGGATCATTGACTGATGCAGTGGTAAAAAGTGTTGGGCTAACAACCGTGAAGTTGTAGGTTCAAATATGAGAGCAGCCAATCGTACGAATCATGTAAAGAGTTGGATATATACCCATCTGTCCTTCACAGCACTCTCAAATAATGGGGACCATACTCTTCACTCACCATTTTATTAGTTCCAAGCCCTTCAAACTTCACATAACATATAAGAGTAAATTGTTGATTCAAGATTGTTATTGCAATTTCCCTCTACAACTTTTTGATAAGACGATGGCTTCCACATAACATTCTCAGCAAAAAGTAAAGCTTATCCAGCTAAAAAGGCCAAATCCATTTTAAGCGAAAGTTAATCCTTTGGGGTGACTAATTGTGCATAATCAAAAGCACTTAAAACAATAATCACTAAAAATTTTCATCTTTCATTAATAACATGGACCATATGCCCCGTACATCTATGGATATACCAAACAAAACACACAAATTAGCCTTCCAACACCTCAAGGTATAATAAGGGGAACTCAAATGAATAAATGCCTTGGCTACCTGTTAGAAAGAAATGATACGTACCTCAGAAGCTCTGCTGCATCTTCTGCATTTGGATTGGCAGCAGTTGCCACGCGCTTGCCTCCTTCTGTTGTGCTCAAAGAACCATTAGGTTGAACAGCTGATGTTCGGGAGAGGTTGCCGTCAACATCACTCCTTACTCTCTCATGAATTCCAACCAGTTGAGCTTTGGCCTCGACTATAACACCTATGTATGTGACATAAAAAGAAACTTCAGGATGACCATGTCAATATCTGTAATGCAAAATGCCAACAAATCTATAAACCAGAGATGATTTAGTTTCTCTGATATGACTTCCTTGAAACATCAGCAGTTAAGCAACAACATCAAAACTATTCACTGAATATAAAACAACCCTTTAATCCAGAATCTTGTTCAATTTCGCAAATGCGCATCTGATTCAGAACATGGTAGAGGTAATTTTAGCCCTGCATATCAAATGATTAAAGCAGACAAACATATAAAAAAAACTGAAATCATGAAACTTTCGTTAGTCTTTTAACCTGATATGCAAATTTCACATCACTACAAATCACAAGCATGAGTAGTAAGAGACACAAGTATTCGTTGTCAATTAGCATGCACAAGGTAGCCGATCTTACAGCAAAGTAGAATCACGATAAAAGCAACTAATAGCCAAAACAGTGAATAAAAATGTAATTATATACCAAGCAAAAAGAGGCCTATTTAACAACTGTCATAATTTAACCCCTTAAACCGTTACAATTAGAAACCCCATTTGAATTTCTTTTTTTTCCCTGTTCAAAAGAAAAATTCAAATGGAGTTCTAATGAAGCCAAACAACAGATACCTTTTGAAGAGAAGCAAAGCATCAAATCATCCAGATGGCAACCTTGCTGCCTTTCTTTTCATTGCTACTAGTTAGAACATTACAACAGTGTGGGACAATGGCAAAATTAGGCGAGATATATAATTCATAAATACGCATAACATCCGCATTCCATATTGACCTTGACCGACAATAGAAGGGTCTCAGCGCCATACTCCACCGCCATTTGGCCCATCCAAAAGGTACACTTCTTCAAGCCCTAGGCTTTATCTAATATCAACAGAATTCAGTACCAGTCTTTGGTGAAGAAAAGTGTTATGTGCATATTTTTAATGTAATATTAGAGTTAATTGATTAGAAGTTATTTAATAGGTGGGTTTGTGATGTGGTAGTCACTAGATAATGATGTCATGAGTTATCATGGGTTAGGTTAGTTATCAAAGTAATTGTCATCATGTATTTAAAGGCATTTCTATCAATTAAAAAATATGTTGATTTGTCATGAATTTTCTTGTGGAAGTTTTGTTGGTCGGGTTCCCCTCGAAGTGAACCTGCAGTGGTTTCCTCAATTATATTTTTCGTTTTATTTATATTTTTCTGAAAAGTGTGCACATAACAATTGATATTAGAGTCGACGATCCTAATAATGGCGACATAATTGGAGATTTTGAAGTAGATGCATGTTGATTTTCAAAAAACGTTCAAGAGATTGATCAAAGAAAATCAACGATTGCAAGAGGATTTTAACAGGGTTCGAAAAATTCTTCAAGAAGTAAAATCAAAATCATAGATGAGGAATCAAGCAAAGATATGCCTGTATTAATTGTTAGAAGCGCTTCAAGGTTGGAGAATCAAGATGCTGCCATTGTTTCTAGGCTAGCAAACCTAAGCAATTAAGGCATGAGATGGAATTAAAGAAGTCTACTTCCTCCCTTTCAATCCTACCAACAACAACTCCTTGCCAAGAACTATCTGCTTACATTTTTTGTGGAGAAACAATTAATCATGTGCATATTTATGAGTATATGGAAGTGGGTTGGCATTTACTTTTTTACTTCTTAAATGCAACTTTGAGACACACTTTTTTTTAAAGGGGAACAGAACCTTGTGTGCATATTTTTTTAATGTAATATTAGAGTTAGTTAATTAGAAATTATTTAATAGGTGGATTAGTGATGTGACAGTAATTAAATAATGGTGTTATGATCAGGGTAGTTGTCAAAGTAGATCTTGTATTCAAAGGCATGTCTATCAATTAAAAAGTGTTGGATAATATTGTGATTAACTTTCTTTGTGAAGATTTTGGAAGTTAGCTTCCATTCAAATTGAACCAGTGGAGGTTCTTTCCCCCCTTGTAGTGGGATTTCTTTCTCCCCTATTCTATTTTTATTTTATTTTATACATCTTCGAAAAGATGAACAAAATTATTATCGTTACATGAACAATTTTTTGGGAAAATATAAAAAAAATGAAAAATAGAATTGAGGAAATAAAACCCATTTTGAGGGAGTCAAACCTCCGGTAATTCACTTTGAGGAGATCTCGACCTCTAAAATTTCCACAAGAAAGTCCATGACAACTCCAACTCCAACACACTATAATTGGTAGAAGCGACTTTGAATACAAGATGATAAAATTACTTTTATAACTAACCTAATCAACGATACCATTATCTAATAACTACCATATCATTAACCCACCTATTAAATAGCTTCTAATTAACTGACTCTAATGTTACATTAAAAATATGTACATAACATTTCCTTTCTCTTTAAAAAAAATTTTTGTCCCTAAAGTTTGATTTGTAATGAGAATGGGGAGGTGGCTAATAGGTTGCATTCTCTATTATGGCTGGTTCTTGAACGTTCTCTACAGTGGGTGGTTCTTGCATGTTTTGCTCCAACAGCTGCTTGTAGTTGACAAAACCATGCTTTTCTACGAACGGTGAAGCTTGGTTTGCCATAGATTCCCATAGTTCCGATTCCTAAAGTCTTTTGTGTTTTGTCTTCTGCTAAAGAAGCTTTTGGTTAGTGAGAGCAAATAAGATACATACCTTGGCTTGCCTCGCTACGAAGCTTTTATTTGGTGACAGTCAAAAACTTCCTCGATTTCTCATAACTACTGCATTTTTCCACATTACTAGTTGAGTGATGTTGGTTGGCTACTAATTGATCAAAGCGAGTTCAAAACTATAAATAACTCACGCATATCCTTCATTATCCTTTCTTGTCCCACAATTAATGAGTGAACCTTCGCTTCCAGACGACTAACTTAGTCCTACATGTCTAATTCTAATACCAATTGTTATGTTCACCTTTTGGAAGATGTATAAAACAAAAGAAAAATAGAATATTGGAGAAAGAGATCCCGCTTCGGAGAGAATAGAACCTCCACTAGTTCAATTTTAGTAGAACCCAACCTCCAAAACCTTCACAAAAAAAGTTAATCACAATATCCAACACACTTTTAAATTGATAGATATACCTTCAAATACAACATGATAAAATTACTTTGATAACTACCCTAACCCATGATGCAATTATTATCTAATAAATACCACATCACTAACCCAGCTACTCTAATACTACATTAAAAATATGCACACAACAAAAAGTTCCTACATGATAAGACATTCAAAACCGTCATAAATTGACCATTCCCATAAATCATTCCAAATTGTCTGAAATTTCGATTTATTTATTTTGTTTTCTACTTGGCTAGAGATTCACAAGTTTGTTCCTCTCCAATTTTAGATTGTCTCTAACAGTTTCCAACCCCATCATCTGTCTACTGTATAGTTATAGGGGATTTACTTCAACCCAGTGGCACACCTGATTCAAGGTGGATGGTTGTTCTTACAAGGAATTGAGTGTAAATCGGGAAACCCACGATCTATCAAACAAAGAACAAATCTTTAAATCCTAACTTCCCTATCAATTGTTTCGACGACGTATGACTATAAAACTTAAATTATCCAGCTACTAAGGTAAAAAACTACAGAGAAAGAAAAATTAAATCACATTACCAGCAGGTAAATCTTTTTTCTCTTGGCGGTTTCTCCGGCCACCGTGCCTCCATCGCTTCACATCAACATCTCTTGACACCGGTTCTTGTACACAATTGTTCAGAAACTCCGGCGGTGCTGAAATCTCCGATAATTACGAAAATTCAAAACAACAAAACATTTCAATATGACCTATTGATTAATAAAAATAAAACCGGAACTAGTGAAGAATCAATAAAGATTACCTGAGAGAATATGTCGAGAGCAGACGGGAGAGACGAAGAAGAGGAAGGGTTTGCAGAGAAGTCGAACAAGGGTTTGTAGCCGGAACGGTTATTCGAAATGTCTCCGTCGTCGTCGTCGTCGTCGTCGTCATCGTCTGAAGAGTTTAGGTCTTTGGGTTCTTGTTCTTCTTCTTCATCTGCGGATAAGTAGCCTTGCACCAGTGCCAAGCTCATTGCGTTCCTGAGGAGAGAGAAACGAGACGAGGCGAGAGATCCCAGTGATTTGGTCAAGGAGGAAGGAATGACTAATGACCTGCCTCCCTGGGCTGGGCTTATGAGTTGGGCCATTTAAGGCTTTTGAGGTTGTGTGGCCCATTTTGTTTGGTCTTTGGAAGCACCATGGAAAATTGATAAAAAAAAGGGTGTCGTGTGAAAAATTATGGTTTGGATGTTAAAGAAATCAATTAAATAAAAAGTACTTTTATAAAAAAAAATATGTTTGGATGACTAATAAAAAGAATACTTATTTATATCATAATTAGTAATATATCCCAAATGCGTGCACATACCAATGTGACGACTACAGTGGTGGTGGCGACACTGGTTGTGGTGGATGGTGGTAATAAGGGTGGTGGCAACCTGATGGTGATGGGTGGGTGGTGGTGGATGATATTAATGCTGACAAATATAAAAATGACTAGTAGTATGGGTTGAAGTGTTGTGAAAATCATAATTGGGAAGTTTGATTTCACCTACTTACGCTGTCCAGTGTCCAATGGCATAGTTACATGAACTGCAGTGTATCAGTAATGTATGCTCCACATTCCCAACAAAAACATAAGGGGAAAAACTTGCCTTTTTATACCACATAAAGTAACAAAGGTATCAGTAGAAAGTCACAGTTATTAAACCCAGGAATGTATTAATCAATCCAAAAATTGTTATTTTCTCACCAATGTTTGCAATTTTATTATACTTGTAGTGTTGTGGTGCTCCACAACCCCCCCCCCCCTTCTTTCTTTCTCTCTCTCTCTCTCTCTCAGACACATACAGTTACGGGTGTTTACTCTACCTTACAGGTATAAATTATAATATTTTATCTTCTTACTCAATATTTTGCGAAATAATTTTTTTTACCTACCTTACTCAATCAAATATACTATTTCTACCCAAATTCCGTTCAAAACAATCGGGTAGGAAGTCGAGTGAGCACATATTTTTAGTTAACAAATTTTGGATCATTATAACAATTTAATTAAGTAACATGAACCAATTAACTAATACAATAAACCAATAACACTAAATAAAATACAATAAATTTGATAATACATAAACAATTACAATAAAACACAAGGAGAAAGTCATAAACATTAATACATTATATATAAAAATGTCATAAACATTAATAAAATATTAGAGTTTCTAGATTTTTATATTTTAATTTTTTAGGAATTAATATATATAGGTAGGGTAAAGTAGTAATACAAAAATTTTATAGGTATTTCGTATTCCTACCCGATTTTTGCGAAATATTAAAAGATCTTTCGTTGACCTACCCAATTCTTTCGAATATCCGATCAATAAGGTTAAGTAAAGTAAGATAGGATCAAAATTTACAGATAATCAAAAATTTGAGCCCTACTCACAGCATAGCCGTTTGTTATCTTGTACAACGGTTAGGCAGTCCAAATCCCTCTTTCCCAGCAAGTAAGATGAGAGCACCACAGTTTAACATATCAGTAGTGGAATTCCTCGAATTCTACCTTAGTCTTAGATGTCCATCCTTAAATTCTCGAACCTCACAAAATCTCCACATATGAGAGTACTCTCTCCCTCCCCAGCCATGAAAGAGACCGTTGGATAGTCACGTCAAAGCCACCCATGGCCTCTATCATAAGCAAAAGCTCAAAGGAGGAAAGTGAAAAACTTATGAGATGTTGTAGAAGAGAATAGCAACCCTCCCCTAAATAAAGGATAAAAATCAAATGTTAAACATTCTTCAGTTCTTATGTTTTGTTTCAGGGTTTTTGGCTCAGCACATAGGTCATAAAGTGTGATTTCATAATATCACCAAGAAACTATCAAATGATACAAAGTTAAGCAAGCTACCACAATGAAGCAAGAGGAAATTTGCTAGCTACAGAAAACGATTCTCTCTTGATTTTAATTGTGTACTTCCAATTCAGAACATTACAATAACATACTTATCGGTCATTCACATTTTGCCCAGAAATGGAATGAAAAAAAGGTAAATATGAAGCCTTTTTTTTTGTGAGAAAAAGAAAGCTATAGTTGCATACTTGCACATCGACAAGAAATTCCTGTATAACAGAGAATTGAGCCGGAAAATAAATTATGATGAAATTTAGCAGAGTCATCGCCTAAATATGGAAAAAATCAACGAGACAAAATTTTGATTCAGAAGGAACTATTTACTTGGGGATTTGAGTATCTCCTTGACCAATTGAAATCTGAAAAAGCTTCAACTTAATGGCCTCCAACTCTGCATTCTGTCTTTCTTCAATTGTCAACCATGAAGACAAACATTGATTAACCAAATCGTTCCCACTATTTAAGGGTGGTACACCCTTTGAAACCCTAGTCTTCCCAAATTTCAAGATAAGCTCCAACTTTGAATCAGAGGGATCCTTAACATAGTTCTCAAGAATGTGCCTGATAGCACTGAACCATATTGGCTGGGCAACCTTGAGGAATTCATGCACAGCCAACACTGGAAGACTCACACTTCCCATATCAGATTCACTGTTGCCACCTCTCCCATGATAATCTGACCCTCCAAGCTTCACAAGATCGTAAGCATCGGCTAGGTCACTATATACTGTTGAGCAAACAAGTGACACGAGAAATAAATACTGTATACAAATTCTCTTAGATAATGCTATGACAACTTTCATATAAAACCAATTACAGGAAAACCATATGCATCACAAGCGATGTAAATAAAAGCACCAGTAATGCATAATTCTCCACAAACATGCTAATTGTGGACATGGAATTTTTGGCTTGTTTACGGGACAGGAAGAGGAACATTAAGACATCAGTTAATACTTAGGTACACTGATGCGACCTGCTTCTATTTGGATTAAAAATCTGCATCTATTCAAGCCAGACGATAATGCAGTAAAAAGTTCCATGCCAAGAATTTAAGCTGGCAATATCGACTTAATATGGTATAACCATAATGAACCGTGAACTTTTCACCTGATTTTTTACGACTTAAGATGTATAACTTTTAGAACGTGTTTGATGACCTCATTGTTTTTTTCAATAAGATTAATGACCTCATTGTTTTTTTCAATAAGATTAATGACCTTATTGTTCATCTGGTGTTAGAAATCATTTCCAATTTCCATCCTATATATTAGAGGCTTTCTTAAAGCAATAATATTTTTTATAAAATTTATTTCCTGCTATCAATAATTACACTGATTATTTGTGTGATCAATATAAATCCAATTCCATTAGGACGTCAGATTAAGAAGAAATAATTTTATGCAGCATAAGACTGGGGAGTTAAAGGGAACAAAATAAGGCAATAGAAAAAGGGAGATATTAGGCAATAAATTATATACCTGCCAGTTTTCCATCACTTCTGTACACCTCTATCCCATGTAGCCCAGCTTCTTTCAATTTTCTGATGATAGCAACTGGATTTTTTAATGCCCATGGATGTGCCAGCACTGCCACACCCCCCGTTTCACATATCAATTGCACTGTTTTCTCTGCAGCAGGCTCACTACCCCTGAACCAGAGAACAAGCAAAAATTTCTGAGTCATGGTGAAAAAAAAATTGGATAAAATTTAATCAAAGCTAAAAGTAAGCTGAGATTTATTACGTTGAATAAGCAGGTCCACCATCATAAAGATACCGGGCAAAAGCTTGTTTCAGATTCTCCACATGGCCTGCTTCAACCAAAGCACGAGCAACATGCAGTCTCCCAGGAGCAACATCCTTGCCTGCAATCCTGGCCACATGCTCCCACTTAAGAGGCAATTTGAGTTTGTTCAATTTTGAAATCATGTTCTTTGCACGGAGGAAACGCCCATCTCTTATATCAGCCAAGAACTTCTCTAATTCCTCACATCTTGCTGGCCCGCAGCTGCTGTAATATGCGAGGATGTGAACTGGTTCTTCTGATCCAGACTCTCTGGTTGTGATTTTCCAAATATCAGGGTCAAAATCATGGAAGGGAAAATGGGAAATAATTATTTTTTTAGACTAACTAACTAGTGTTCCAGTAAATAGCCTGATGTGAGCGGCTTTGCAAGATAATGATGGTGGTGATGGATCACAATATGCAAGTACTAGGCATCATAAAGCCAGAAAACAGAATAACCTTGGGGAGAAAATTGTACTGATTTCGACACCCGGGATAATTTTGATGCCAAATCTGCGAGCTGCTTCCAGAGCTTCAGGGATGCCAGACATAGTATCATGATCTGTCAGAGAAAGAACTTTCACCTGTTCTGAACAAATTCAACTAATTATATAACACTCCATCCAATTAAATATTGAAGCAATTATCTTGTAACAAGAGAAAATGTCCTGACAAAAGGATATTTCATGATTCATAAGAAAATAAAGATCTTCAGATGGATTTCACCATCAACCATCAAACCGAGAACAATAACAAGGTACCATGTAAAAGTTCATAGATTCATCTAATCCTAAAAACTAAACATATAGCTCAGCTCTTGACCATTTATTCCATCTAAAACATGCTACTTAAATGCTCCTAATAAGGGATATGGGGATGGGTGGACAGTGTACACAGTTACTTGGGCCTCTTTTTATAAGACCATTTTTCTCGACTGCACTTTTTATTAGAATATTTCCCAGTTTTTTTTGTAAATATTCAAGGACTGCATGATAAAAAAAAAAATTCAAACTACTCATTTTGATTGAAAACTGTAGCCAAGGGGCCCTTAAGAGACCAAGGCTGTTTGCCAAATTGAAACCATCACGAATATGTCGTCTTTAGTTTTCCCTACAATTGATACATTACTTTTAAGGAAAGGTCAAACTGTGAGAGTTGCTTAAAAGGACCAACTTGCATCAACAGGACAGCCTGATGTTTGCAGGCCATTAGAATAGAACATTTGCAAGTGCCAAGACCATCTGAAGCCTCTAAAGTATCAAAGCAAAAAGAAGAAGACAGGAGAGAGATAATCATAGAAACAAATCAAAGCCAAAGCTTCAATCAATTCCTTCCCAGGGAAAACATATGGCAAGCTAAGGAGGTATTTTTACCATGGACAACAAACCAAGGCAGGAAATAGAAAAAGAATATCTCACAGCAAGATCAAGTCATGATCTTTAACTCCCACATTGCTGGAAAATGGAAGCAGAAACTCGTTATGTATAAATACAATTCATCTGAACTGGTGCCAAATTTGAGTCCTGGACACTTGATGGGAAAAAAAATACTATGTTTAATCACAAGTTCACGGAATTCCCCACAACCATGGATTTGCTGAGGCAATGTGCCACAAACACACTTGATCCAACACCAGCTTTATAGAAGATTTAAGCACTGGCCTGCAGTCAACACAATTTATCTTTCTTTTCATCTACCTAAACTGCAGGAGCATATGAAACATTTAAATCATAGCCTACATTATATAGAAGAGGCGGATCAGGCCAGCAGATTTTCACATTGTTTTGCAATTTGGTAAGATGAAAGAAGCTTCACACAAAGAAGTTCCAAGGGGAGATCGAGAAGAAAAGCCACGAGCTCACATTCCAAATCATTTTAACTTACCTCACATAATCAATAAAAAGTTTGTCTGTTCACAAATGGAAAATCATAATCACTTTACGTCAGATTGTAGAGCACAAACATTTTGGCTGGATGCTCGAAACCATTTCCAGGATTCACGCTCTCTGAGATCAAAGCGCTATAAACATAATGTCCATTGAAATTCTTTTTCTACTTAACATATTATATGTTCAAGTCTTTCTTAATTATTTCCCTTTTTGAAATGTACAATATATACTCATCTTTTTATTAACTTTTTATTTTAACTTCAACTTTTAGCCCCAAACATCACATAACCGGAAATCACAAGCGAGCATGAATGTAGACCCAGCTAAAGCAAAAGTAGTGCTCGATATGCCAGAGCGAACCTCAGTGAAAGAAAAGAGTGGAAGTCATTTTTAGGAAAAGCTTCCTACTTGAGAAGGTTCTTACCAGGGTTAGCAGCCAACTCGGCCCCTCTCATGGAATTTCTAAAAAAAAAAAGATGGAATACAAATGGGAAGAGGTCTATCGACAAGCCTTTGAGTGGCCACTAAATAGCAGATAGCATTATCAGCAGTGCATATTTTTCCATTCACTTGCATGCACTGGCAGATCAATAAATAAGTAAATTGGGAAATGATAGCATAAACAAAGACAGAATCAAGCGGATCTTTTACTGAATGTGACAGCATTAACTAAGGGTCTGGAAAAGGTGGGTGAGCTGCACAGCTAAGTTAACAACTATACAATCAGGCAACATATAAAAACAGGACACTGTGAACCTGAAGAAATAAATGAAGGTTGGAACATAAGATTTAGCCATAAATTACCACCAAAAACACAGGTAAACGTGAGCAAAATTAAAAACCACAAGTAACCAACCAACATAAACTTTTCCAACACAAACATTTCGTTACTAAATTTATTGTTTTTCTGGATGACATTATCAGAAACCCCATTCAATCATACAAGCAACAAAATCTTAGTTAAAAACAAACAAGAACAGAACAGAAAAATCGCAATCTTCCCATAAAAAGCAAAACCATCTCAAATACTCATTCAAACTTCATAATCACAAAACATAATAGCATTGAAAAATCAGAATGAAACCCAACAAGCAAAACAAAAAAAATCTAATACCCATAAAATTCAAAACTCATCACATACAAGCAATGAAACAGAAGAACCCCCATTGCCTATATTCAACGAAGATTTATCAAACCAAAACCAAAGAAGAAAAAAACTCACCCCATTTTGATGTGCTCTCTCGACAAGCTTGGTAGGAGAAAGGAACCCATCACTGCAAGTTGAATGAGAATGCAATTCAAACACCAACTTCTCTTTGCCGCGACTCCACTGAACACCAAAATCATCATCCAGCACAGCAACAGACTGGCCCAAGAAGACCCATTCTCTCACAGATTTGTATGCTGAAGTTTGCTCGATAGTCATTTTCTTCTTAGTACCACCACGCGTCTTCTTCTTCTTAGTGGTGATTGTTTTCTTTGGACTATCTTTGTTGCCGCTACCGTTCGTACTTGGAAGAAAGAATCCATCGCCCATCATACGGGAGAGAGAGAGCGAGAGAGCAAAAGCTAGAGACAGACAGAGAGAGGAGAGAAGAAGAAAAAGAAGGCGGTTTGGGTTTTTAGGTCATTACGATCTGTGTAGGGTGTAATGGATATTTTCGCTTATGTCGTCGGTACATTTTGTCGCGAAAATGGAATTTATATTTGAGCCGAATTAGGTCCCTCAATTGATTGAATTTTAATTTGAATTCGATTTGTGAAATATAAATTAATTAGTTATTACCGGTGCTTGAAAGTACAAAAAATAAAAAAAAAAAGATCAATAATAAATATATTTGTATTTATACCAAAAATTAAATCATAAATATAAATGAGAGAAAAAAAAATTTAAATCTCAATTATAATAAGAGTGAGCGTGATGGTAGGTGACAGTGGTGGTAGACTGCAATGGTGGTGATAGTTGTGGTGTGGTGGCGACATTTGTAATGATGGCGGTAGCCGTGAGTAGTAACGGTGATAGTGGTAATCATGAGTGACAACGGTAATGGTGATTGATAATAGTTGTGATGGGCGACAACAAGTTATTTTGAGTGATAATGTGATAAGTGGTGATGAATGACGATAGTGATAATGATGGTAAGTGGGGGGATGACAGCGGTGATGATTGTGTTGGTGGAGTGGTGGCAACAGTAGTGATAGAAAGTGCTGGTGAAGCGGGTGGGGGGGGGGGGTGATGGTGGTGGTGAGATGGTGGCAACGATTGTGTGTAGTAAAGGTGGTGGTGGGATGGCGATAGCGGTGGTGGTGATAATGGGGGTGGCGATGATGGTGGTGGAGGTAGTTGTGGTGATAGTGGGACGGTTCTAAATACTATTTTTTTTTAAAAATACTTGTAAAAAGTTATAAAATATTTTTAAAAAGTTACCCAAATACACTCTTATAGGTATATTGCCTATTAAATTTGAGGTGTTAATATTACCCGTTGAATTAACTTTAAAATAAAATTTAAATAAATTTCAACCGCGAAAAACAAAAAATTATTTTATTTATCTTTTAAAATTTAAATTGTATTGTACTTTATTATATAACTAGTTATTGTATGTGTTTGAAGGCACAAAATAATAAAAAATGGTAACAACAAACATATTTGTATTCATATTCAAAATCAAATCACAAACATAATATAAAAGATAAAAAAATTTAAGTATCGAAGTTGTAGTGAGAGTGAGAAATGGGGTGTGAGAGATGGTAGGTGACAGTGGTGGTGGTAGGAAACGGTAATGGTGATGGTTGTGGTAATGGTCGTGGTGGCTGTGATGGCGACGACGACAATGGTAGTGGTGGTTGCGACGATGATGGTAATGATGACGGCAACTGCAGTGGTAGTGGTGGTGGTTGTGTTGTGTGGTAGTGGGTGGAGGTGGTTTGTGGTGGGGGTGGGGGTAATAATGGCGGCGCCGGTAGTTGTGGTAATAGGGGTAACAGTGACGAAGGAGGTGATGGCGATGGTGATGGTGACGGTGACGGTGACGATGATGGTGGTGGTGACAACAGTGACGGTGGTAATGGCGGTTGTGGTTGTGGTTGTGGCGGCAGCGACAGTGGTGGTGGCGATGGTGGTGGTGGCGGTGATAAAGGTAGTGGTGGGCGCAGTTTCAAACGTTATTTTTTTAAAAGTATTTATGATAAATAATTTTTATAAGTATTTTTAAAAAGTCATTTCAAACACATCCCTTAAGGTCCTATTTTTTCTATTAAATTTAGGGTGTTAATATTAGCCGTTAGATTAACTTTAAAGTAAACTTTAAAACGATTTCAACCGTGAATGACAAAAATCATATTATTTATTTTTTAAGATTTGAATTGTAAGTTACTTTATTATATATGTATATTTTTTTTTAGAGATTATCTAAGTTCGAATTTGAATTTGATGTCTTACATTTTTGATAAATTCAAATTTGAGTATACTTATATAATTATATTCGATCATAAATATTTATATATTTTTATATAAAAATTAAAAAAAATAAATGATTATTTAAAGAAATTTAATTAAAATAATTTATTCGGATAGGATCAATTTTTTGAATTATTAACAGATTTGGATATGAATTAAAAAAAAAAAATCTGTCAAATTATCGATCCAATTAAGATTAGTCAAAATTTATTCCAACCTCAATCCGTTGACAGGGTCACATAGTAGTGTAGCTTGTGCACTATCACGAGAACAAGTAGACATATATATTGTGGTGTCATATATGGATGTGTGAATGGATGTAAGCATGTAAGGGTAATAATTATATCGGATTAAATAGGTTTATGTCAAAAAAAAAAAAAAGTCTAAAATCACTCAACTCGTACACGAATTATTTATTAAACAAATAAAATGTGTTGAAATCAATCAAAACCCACGTATTTAATGAGTTAACCGATAAACAAGTTAATATATTTTATCTTACACGACCCGTATAATAGGCAATTTTGACAGATTAATTCGTTTATCATCTGAACTCATTAAAATCAAATAAATTCATTAATTTTGTGTCAATTTGTGTTTTATTTTGTAACGTTTACATGCACAACTATGTTGTGTTTTTTGGGTTGGTGGAATGTCACGCACTCTACCACCGAGCATTAGATCAGTTGGTGAAGGATTATTCTAGCGTAATCAAGGTCTCAAGTTTAAGTCTTGGTAACATAATTACGTTCAATAAAAAGAATTTTGCCGCCCTTGTGATCCCACTCAACTCGAATCCAAATTAGTTGAAGTCTAAAGTAAGTTTCGAATATCGGATGGTCCGACCAAAAACGAATGTTACACACTGTCCCCCTCTCTCACTCGTTATCTTTGGGCTTGCCTTTTTTCTCAGCTGTCATGTTCTCAGCCTGAGGTCTGCACCCACTCAAGACCCAACCATGGCAGTGTGAAGTACTTTTCTTAGGAAATTTTTCGCAGTACACTGCTCTATCTACTCTCTGAGTTGTCATTTGTGTTCTCGGGAGGGACACCTCCTTGTTCCATCCCCCTCTCTCTCTCTCCTTCAAGTGTATTTAATTTTTTTGATATTGTATTGATATTATTATTTTTTATAATCATTATTTTATATTTGTTTATCATTATAATAATAATAATAATAAATTAATAAAAATAGTTATCACAATAAAAATAAAATTACCTACAAAATGATAAATCTTTCACAAAAGTAATAAATTTCCACAAAAATGAACAAAAATGTATTATAAAAATAATAAAATTTAAATATACGATACCAATTTTTTTGGTCATCACCGTAGTCAAGTCCATAGAATCATAGAAGGAATAGGTTTAGGTAAAGGCAGAGTTCAGAGGTTATTACTTAGGGAGTTGATTATGGTAC